CTCGTGGAGCCTCCTCCATTCTCTGCCTACCAGACTGGGGAGGGGGAGCTCATGGATCCTATCCTGTCGCAGGATGGTGGGGCTACGGGCTTCTGCTAGAGACGACTAGTGCCTCCTGAGAGTGGGGGGAGGCACAATTTAAAGGTTCAGCCCCCCAACAGCTTGAGTCACGCCCCCCAGGCACACCCTCTCTCTTACTCTCAGTGGCCCCTCCCTGCAGGTCCCGGCTGTTTGCCACTGCCTCTCCGCATAGTCATAGCTCCCAGCTTGCCAGCTCCAGCAGCTGCTGTGCAGGGAGGGGGCCCAGTGGCACCATATGACTGAGCGGAGCCAGCAAACACTGGCAAAAACCAGGGGGGCACATGGCCCCACATACCCACCCCACACACACATTGCCTCTGGCTTCTGCCCAGCAGGGATGGGGGTCTTGGGGCTTCAGCCCCACAGCGCATGCCTGCCAGGGCTCAGGGCTTTAGCAGGAGTGTGGCTGAAACCCCAAGCCCCAGCAAGCGCCTCCTGTGGAGCTGAAGCCCCGAGATCTCTCTCCCCACAGGCTAGAAGCCCCTAGCCCCACTACGGGGTGAAGCCCCAAACCCTGGCAGGTGCACCCCAGCTCTCGAACATCTGAAGATTGCCATGTGTGGCTCGGAGGGTCAGTAAGTTTGGCCATAGAGAATGGTACAGAATGATATAGAGGAGATAAATTAAAAAATCCTATTTGTACTCTCTCATAATTCAAGAATAAAGGGACATGCAAGGAAACCAAAAAAGCAACAAAATTTAAAACGATAACAGGAAATATTTTGCATAACACACTATTAACCTGTGGAACTTACTGCTGCTAGATGGCATTAGCTAGAGGGCAAGAGTTTTATAAGGTTCAAAAAGGAGTAGATATCTGTGTGAATAATGAGTGCTGCAGTTACATTAGAATAAAAAATACAATCATTTTTATAAGACTAAATTCTGTTTTCCAGCCATGAATTCCTGGGGCTCAAGAAGATATTTCTGTTATGGGCAGGTTACTCCACAGGGCTAAGTTGTGACTTTGCCTTGAGCCCTTATCAAGGGACAGAGTGTTGTTATGCTGCGCCAAGAGCAAGCTGGGAGGCAGATTGTGACTTGGAGACTCACGATCTATCTCCTCGTCACCCTCTCGCTCTGGTGGGGAGGTGCCCTGTGTTAGATCTATACCTGGCACAGCTTACATCACCCAGTGCAGTCATGCTGACTGGTGTATTGAGGCCAGACTCGAGGCTTTGCCCATTTCATGCCCCTTCCTGTCCACATACATAGTGCAGAGAGATGGGGACATACCAGTTCAGCAGAAGCTGCTCTCCCCACCCAGGCAGCTATCCACATTATAAGTAGACCTCACAGGGGCATTAGAAGCTGCCTGAGGCCCCATGGGGTAGCTCTACGCTGCAGCTGGAGCCTGCATGAGCGAGCCTCCCCATCTGGGTCACAGTCTAAAAACAGTTGTTTAGACAGTGCTTTGAAGTTGTGGCTTGGGCTGGACCTCAGGCTTTGAAGCCGCTCCCCCATTCCCACCTTACTCCCCTGCATGTCTGTACAAGCCAGCTACAATATAGTCCATAACTGTTCCACTCCGGGTTTCCTAATACCATTCCCTGAATTATCTGGCACTGGGCACTGTTAAAGGCAGGATACTGGATGAGAGAGACCAGGGGTCTTGATCACATATGGCAATTCCTATCTTTCTATGAGCCTGACTAGAATTTGGAAGTACCAAAGCACATAGGGAAAATGTAAAAAAAAAAAAAAGGGGTGGGGGGGATGATAACCCAACATTTCCACACCTCAGGAAAGATGTCTGGGCTTGACTCGCATTATAGTTTTCCATATACAAAGGGCAACAACGTACTTTCCATCTGAGTGACTTTGGGTACCTGCAATTAAAACCCTGTGGCTGGCCTGTGCCAGCTGAATTGAGCTTGTAGGGCTCAGGCGAAGGGACTTTTTAATTGCGGTGTAGATGTTTGAGCTCATGCTGGATGCTGGGCTCTAGGATCCTGTGAGGTGGGAGGGTCCCAGAGCTCCAGCTGCAGCCCAAGCCCGAACATCTACACCTTAGTTAAACAGCCCCTTGGCCTGAGCCCCAAGAGCCTGAATCAACTGGCATGGGCCAGCTGTGGGTTTTTTTATTACAGTGTAGATATACCCATGTGGTTTAGTTAAAAACAACAAAACAAGAACAAACAAAAGTGAATGTCCAAGAGACAGCTCTCTCTCTCTCTCTCTCTCTCTCTGTGTCTTTTGCAGAGCTGGTTGAAAAACAATAAGTACGTTTGGTGAAATATTGTAACCCCCCCTCCCCAAAAAAACACCTCTTTATTTTTCTCAAAATTTTTGCATATTTTTTTAATTTTCAGATTTTTCAGTGAAAACTGAAAAACCCAAAAAACTAAAAAAGGGAGAATGGAATGTTTTTCACGTTTGTTTTTTTGGCTCTTTCTTCTTTCTTCTCCCTTTTCCTTCCTTTTTTTTCTTTTTTCCACTGAAAATAAAGAGTATAAGGGGTGAAAAAACAGGGTGAAATAAAAAACTGAAACAGCAAAACCTGAAAATGGAAAAAAAAATGTGGATTTTTTTGTTTTTGGGTTTTTCTGAAACATCAGAAAATTTCAAAACTACAAAAAAAAATTGAAGAGAAAGCTTTGAATGGAAGATTTTGACTTCATCTAGACCAGTGGTTCTCAAACTTTTGTACTGGTGATCCCTTTCACACAGCAAGCCTCTGAGTGTGACCCCCCCCAATAAATTAAAACCACTTTTTAATATATTTAACACCATTATAAATGCTGGAGGCAAAGCGGGCTTTAGGGTAGAGGCTGACAGCTCACGACCCCCCATGTAATAACCTCGCAACCACCTGAGGGGTCCCGACCCCCAGTTTGAGAACCCCTGATCTAGACCTTTGTGTCAGTCTGCACTGAACTGAATAAAAAAAATGGTGACCTATCTCTGAATACAGCAGTGTCTCTACAGATTTAAAGGTGCAGTAACAGAAAGCACAGTCATTATAATTACATAGCTAGCTAAACTGCAGTTCAGCCAATGTTTTGTGGGAAGGTTTTAGGTCTTATTAGCTCTGAACCACTTCACACATTCATCATAAATAAGAGATTGTTGGGAATGTAAAATCATTCTTTGACTCTTTCAGAAAAGACTGATTTAGCGGGATTGCAAAAATGAAACAATTCTCATGCTGTCTGCGAAAAGCTGAAAGTTTTTCAGGAAGCAGCTATGTAATGCTGTGAGATCAAAGTGTCCCCTGTAGAGAATTGCTGATATCGAGTGTTCCAGAAACTCGGAGAGATGCAACGTAACTAGTGCCAAGTGCTCAGGGGGGCTGCCAACAGTGCTGCGTGTCTATTGGCATCACCGCTATGCACTTAAATAGCTGGAGACCTTTCTCTAGCCAGGAACAAGTGAGAGGGGAAAAGTCCCTGTTTCTAAATTTGAAAAGAAAGCTGTAAACAACAGGCAAGCTGACTGTTAATATGTGAGGTGACTTATGAGGCTCCCCTTTGGTCTGCACTGCGGGAAAGGTCAGCTTCCCATGTTTTCCAAGTAAACACAGACAACATGTGTTCAGGGGCAAGCTTTGCTCAGTTGCTCAGAGTGGTTCCCAAAGGAGGAGGAAATTGTTTTAAACCTCTCAGAGCATCCCCAGTGGGATTTAAGCCCACAAACTCACAATTTGTCATTGGCAAGGCAGTGCTTACAACCCACCATGGTGGGAGCTTAACTGGCCAAGAGATCCTGGCCAGGTGACTCGATAACTGGTTAATCTACAAATTGGCTGCCTCCGCCATTACCGATGTAGCTCCTCTCTTCAAGTGCCAGCCCCATCTCCAGCCCTTTGCTTTCAGATACACCCTGCATGTGCCATTTCCCATACCCTGGCTCCAGAAGTTCATAGAATCACAGAATATCAGGGTTGGAAGGGACCTCAGGAGGTCATCTAGTCCAACCCCCTGCTCAAAGCAGGACCAATCCCCAATTAAATCATCCCATCCAGGGCTTTGTCAAGCCTGACCTTAAAAACTTCTAAGGAAGGAGATTCCACCAGCTCCCTAGGCAACGCATTCCAGTGTTTCACCACCCTCCTAGTGGAAAAGTTTTTCCTAATATCCAACCTAAACCTCCCCCACTGCAACTTGAGACCATTACTCCTTGTCCTGTCCTCTTCTACCACTGAGAATAGTCTAGAACCATCCTCTCTGGAACCACCTCTCAGGTAGTTGAAAGCAGCTATCAAATCCCCCCTCATTCTTCTCTTCTGCAGACTAAACAATCCCAGTTCCCTCAGCCTCTCCTCATAAGTCATGTGTTCCAGACTCCTAATCATTTTCGTTGCCCTTCGCTGGACTCTCTCCAATATTTCTACATCCTTCTTGTAGTGTGGGGCCCAAAACTGGACACAGTACTCCAGATGAGGCCTCACCAATGTTGAATAGAGGGGGACGATCATGTCCCTCGATCTGCTCGCTATGCCCCTACTTATACATCCCAAAATGCCATTGGCCTTCTTGGCAACAAGGGCACACTGCTGACTCATATCCAGCTTCTCATCCACTGTCACCCCTAGGTCCTTTTCCGCAGAACTGCTGCCTAGCCATTCGGCCCTAGGCTGTAGCTGTGCATTGGGTTCTTCCATCCTAAGTGCAGGACCCTGCACTTATCCTTATTGAACCCTCAGATTTCTTTTGGCCCAATCCTCCAATTTGTCTAGGTCCCTCTGTATCCTATCCCTGCCCTTCAGCGTATCTACCACTCCTCCCAGTTTAGTATCATCCGTAAATTTGCTGAGAGTGCAATCCACACCATCCTCCAGATCATTTATGAAGATATTGAACAAAACCGGCCCCAGGACCGACCCCTGGGGCACTCCACTTGATACCGGCTGCCAATTAGACATGGAGCCATTGATCACTACCCATTGAGCCCGACAATCTAGCCAACTTTCTACCCACCTTATAGTGCATTCATCCAGCCCATACTTCTTTAACTTGCTGACAAGAATACTGTGGGAGACCGTGTCAAAAGCTTTGCTAAAGTCAAGAAACAATACATCCACTGCTTTCCCTTCATCCACAGAACCAGTAATCTCATCATAGAAGGCGATTAGATTAGTCAGGCATGACCTTCCCTTGGTGAATCCATGCTGACTGTTCCTGATCACTTTCCTCTCATGTAAGTGCTTCAGGATTGATTCTTTGAAGACCTGCTCCATGATTTTTCCGTGGACTGAGGTGAGGCTGACTGGCCTGTAGTTCCCAGGATCCTCCTTCTTCCCTTTTTTAAAGATTGTTCAGATATAGTAGGAGCCAAATCTCAGCCTCCCTCTTCGCCCCCGGATTTTGCAGAATAAAAAATAGATCAACACGATTTTCCAGGACCAAGTCCACCCTTGCAAGTCTTATTCTTATAGTTTGCTGGGGTCCCAAGCTCCCTGGCCATGTTCTCTGGTGCTGTTGCCATTTGGGGGCACAAGGTGTTAGCTGAATAATTCCTCCTACTTTGGACCAACTACCAGACAGAGCTGACCAGTGAGAGGCAATGCTTGTATGGGAGGTAGGTATCTTCAAGGAGAAGGAGTCCAAGAGGCCAATTCTTCCTTTTCTTTAATGATTTGCCTCCTTCAGGCCCCTGGGATTAGCCAAGCTTCTTCCCTGCAGAAAACTCCAGGTCTGATTCTCCTCTTCTTTACACCAGTGCGAATCAGGAAATCTCCCCTGAAATCATCCCTGAGGGTGAAACTAGTGTGAGCAGAATCCGGCCCAACATGCCTCTGCTTTTCTTGGGGGATGTGTGTGATGCAATTCCTGCCAGGGTCTCTGCAGTGCTTCCCTACCTGTGGTGAATAAACAGCTGATTGGACTGAGAACATCCAGCATCTACTGCAGTGTTTTTCCTCCTGTCCTAGGAATCAGCATCTCTTCCCTTACCCCCAATGCCAAGCCTGGGGAGGGCCAACTTCTATCAATTTCTTGACACAGATTGCTAGTAATCTCAAATCTAGGCCTATTTTATGGGGGAGGAACTAACATAAGGTCATAGAATATCAGGGTTGGAAGGGACCTCAGGAGGTCATCTAGCCCAACCCCCTGCTCAAAGCAGGACCAATCCCCAATTAAATCATCCCAACCAGGGCTTTGTTAAGCCTGACCTTAAAAACTTCTAAGGAAGGAGATTCCACCACCTCCCTAGGTAACGCATTGCAGTGTTTCACCACCCTCCTAGTGAAAAAGTTTTTCCTGATATCCAACCTAAATCTCCCCCACTGTAACTTGAGACCATTACTCCTTGTCCTGTCCTCTTCTACTACTGAGAATAGTCTAGATCCATCCTCTTTGGAACCCCCTTTCAGGTAGTTGAAAGCAGCTATTAAATCCCCCCTCATTCTTCTCTTCTGTAGACTAAACAATCCCAGTTCCCTCAGCCTCTCCTCGTAAGTCATGTGTTCCAGTCCCCTAATCATTTTTGTTGCCCTTCACTGGACGTTTTCTAATTTTTCCACATCCTTCTTGTAGTGTGCGGGCCAAAACTGGACACAGTACTCCAGATGAGGCCTCACCAATGTCGAATAGAGAGGAACGATCATGTCCCTCGATCTGCTGGCAATGCCCCTACTTATACATCCCAAAATGCCATTGGCCTTCTTGGCAACAAGGGCACACTGTAGATTGTAATGGATTTTTTACCTTCAGTCCTTTTGGTCTGATGTCCATCTGTTTGCATTTGGATAGGAAGATGATGTCTGTCTCTATCTGTATGAGTTCAATTGTACACTTGTATACTTGTACACTTCAATCTCTTTTGTCACTCGATTACAGACCTAAAAGTGGCAATTCTTCAACAAAAAAAATTCAAAAACAGATTCCAACGAGAGAGTGCTGAATTGGAATTAATTTGCAAACTGGATACAATTAACTTAGGTTTGAATAAAGACTGGGAGTGGATGTGTCAGTACACAAAGTAAAACTATTTCCCCATATTTATTCCCCCTCTCCCCACACTGTCCCTCAGACGTTCTTGTCAACCACTGGAAATGGCCCACCTTGATTATCACTACAAAAGGTTCCCCCCCCCACGCTGTCCTGCTGGTAATAGCTCACCTTAAGTGATCACTCTGGCTACAGTATGTATGGTAAGGCTATGGCAGAAGAGAGACTTGAACCCAAAGCTTCAACATCTAAGGCTCGTGTCCAAACCACTGGACCATCCTTCCTCAGCTGTGGCCTTAGGCTGTTTCTTCTATATTAATATGCGCTTTCCTGACCCCATCTTAGACCCCTCCAGTTTTGCTCCAGTTTCCTCCTTCATATTTTGTATTAGTTTTGCTCAAAATAGGTATTAGTCTTATAAGAATGTAGTTCATGTTTAGACTCTATGAAAGGCTTGTAAATTGCGGCCTGTGTTGATCTCACTTGTAATGTCAGCGTTCCAGGCAATAAGAAAATAGGTATGTTTTGCTTTATAACTTTGAAAATGTTGGCTCTGAACTTGTGAACTTAGGCACAGGAATCATCCCCCTGCCCATCCAGAAGGGCTATCAAGGAATATGGCAATACAAAGGATTGGTATGCCATGTGCAAGGAAGCTCCTCCTGTGGACTTGGAAGCTGAATGAAGGAAATAAAACAAAGCTGAAGGAAAATTTTCCATCTCTTTTGCTGCTGGAACTCTCACAGGGTCAGAGAAACCAAACTGAAACCAGAGACCCGCAGAGGTTACCTCCGGGGTCACCCTGAAAGACACTTGAAGTGACAGATCTCTACAAGTCTGTCACTCTTAGGAGCCAGATGGTAACTCATCTGTGTGTATATGCTTGTTGCTTTAACCTGTAAATAACTCTATTTCTTCTTCCTAGTGAATAAGCCTTTAGATAGTTTATTACAGGATTGGCTACAGGTACTGTCTTTGGTGATCTAGGGTATCAATTGATGTGGGGTAAGTGACTAGTCTCTTAGGATGGGACGCAACCTAAATATCATTTGATTTTTGGTGAAAGTGACCATTTACCACTAAGTTCAGGTGCTCAAGTTGGCCAGGTAGACTGGAGAGTCTAAGGGGACTGTCTGTGACTCAATAGTAAGACTGTTATAGTGATCCAGGAGTTCACATTTGTTGGCATTGGTGAAATCTACTTCTAGAACACACCTCCAGGTTGGGGGTATCTGCCTTGTTTTTGACAGTCTGGCCTGAAGCAGGTGCTCAGTCATGAGCCTCTCCAGCCAGTAACAGTAGATTGTGCTTTGGTCTCTGCAGCCACACACAACATCTCTTAAGTAGCAAGAGCAGCAGCTTGTTCAACAATCCTTGTTGAACTGTCAGTGGCCCCTCCCATTTAGTCTGTCTTCTTCTCACATGAGTTACTATGGGGCTCCTTTCTCTCAGGCTCAGCCCTGGTTCAGCTCCCACAAGGGTCTTTAACCTGTGACACAAATTTCCTAGGATGGCTCATCTAGGCCATATTACAATAAAATTGAAAAATGCAGACAAGAGACACAATTACTATGTAAATTACATGCACCCATTTAGCATTGGGACTCAAAATGTGGGCCTTCAACTCCAGAAGCACAGACTTCTACTTCTAGTGCAGAACTTCTTTCAGTGTAGCCAGTGCCTCTGCCAATAGGTGGTGCTGTATCTTTATTTCAGTGGTAAGCGGTTGTCTTTGTTTGATATTATGTTGTTGTTTTGTTTCAGGGGGGAGGGAGGTGGTGACTAGAAGAAGTTAATTCCTGTCTGTGTGTGCTGGAGTTGTTATTTGCAATGTTCCAATAAATCCTTTGAATTCTGGAGAGAGTATTACACTTGTGTCTGTGCCCAATCACTAAAGGGGGACATCACTCACTCACTTACTGTACATTGTGATATTCTTTCCATAATTGCTGCTGCCTAAAGAGAGACTGGCTCATTTTAAATGGATTTAATTTATTCTTTTTTTATCTGAAAATTTCACCACTTTGCTCAGAAGTATTTGTGCACATGTTACCTTACTGGACTGGAGTGAAATGTAACCCGACAGGATGGCTAGCACTCTGTTGGTGACTGAGATGCTTGTGTCAGTGAAGTTTTATTCCCTAATTAAATAAAGACCTGTACTGTACATAAATAAATAAAAACTTCATTGTGAGCACCTATGTAACTAGCTGCAAGCCAGATGAGCAATATCACATGTAAGTCAATGTAAAACTGAGCAGAGTATGGCAGCCGCACAACACATTTTCACACTTTATTAACTCATAACCTTTAGAATAATTTTTCAATTATTCCTTTCTACAGTCACGGTTCTGAACTGGAACTCTGCAAAGAAATGCCAATGCTTAATCCATTAAACATCCCAAATCTTTTCAGTTTAAGTGTCTTTTTTCCTCCCCCTATTCCTCCTTGAAATTTCTGTAATTTTTGCAGGAATTTATCATTGTTCTTACAGCACTCACTATACCAGAGGAAACAATTTTTGGTCCATGCTCCACAGCATTATAAAGTTTGTCACCACTGAACCATCTCCCGGAAGTTAATAATACAGCATAGCCTCGGGGACTAGCCTGACATCATCAACAGTATTATTATTATCCCTACTACTGCACTAGAACCTACAGATTCCGAAATAAGGTCAGGGCCCCATGGTGCTGTACAAGCACATAGTCAAAGACAATTACTGAGCTGAAGATCTTAAAATCTAAAGACAGTAGTAATATTATTGTCCCCATTTTATGGATGGAGAACGAAGGCCCAGAGAAATTAAGTGACTTGCCCAAATTCATACAGGAAGTCACTAGCAGAGAAGGGAATAGAATCCAGGTCTCCTACAGCCTAAGTCAGTGCCCCATCCTTCCCCTTTAAAGATACAGGACCACTCATGGCCTTTACAAGACTTTGTCTGGGATTTGAACCCTGGCCTTTACATATGCAAAGCAATAATCATACTCCTAGACGAACAAGCTGCTTTTAGGATACGTTTATGAATGGGATTACATAATGCAGTTGCCTGTGCTAATGGGGAACTGAACTTGATGACCCAGATAATCCTTTTCAATCCCATGTCCTATGTTTCTACTACTTCAGGTTGCTGACAGACATCATGGCATTGATTTACAAGCAATTGATGTGTGGAAAGTTTTCTTTGTGACTATAAGAGATAGAAACATCATTGTTTTAAGATGAAATCCTATATTCTGGAGCACTCTTCTATAGCAAGGGGCGGATTCTTTAACTACAGAATTGCAGAATACAGGAACCTGATCACAACATCCAGTGCATTTATTCTTATTAAAAAACAGCTCAAAGTTAGAAATCGGCAGCCACAAAGGATAGTGAGGATGGGGTCATCATAGGAAAACATGGTAGGTGTTTTTGGAGTTTAAGTGGAAAAAGGTTGTGAGGATGGGGTCATCATAGGAAAACATGGTAGGTGTTTTTGGAGTTTAAGTGGAAAAAGGTTGTGAATTTCTATGCTAGAGTACATATTCCTATGTATTTGCCAGACACTAATGTAACCGTTTATAGATTATTTAGTGCTTTGGTTGTTTAGAGATAATGAAATATTGGTTATTGTTCAATGTGGGGCTAGTGCTTTGCTCTATTTACAGTCTACCGGATGAAGCATGTCTACCAGCTGATAGGAAAGACTTCCCCAAATTTGCAGTGGCTTGCCTGTTTCTGGGTTTTTAATTTAGACTAACAGCTGGGGCCTATAGGAAAGGAAAAACTAGGGGTCTTATTCGAAGAACAGCGATACGCACACCTCTTTCTGTGCTCTGGGTTTTGCCACTGGGTTTTGATATTCATAATAATGAAGGTGTCAGTGTTTTTAGAGGTCAGCCTGAATAAAATGCAGATTTTGCTGGCCTTCTGGCATTCCAGTGGGATGGAGAACTCTGGGCAACCTGCATCTGAGAGAACTGCTTTCTGAAAATGTTGCTCTGACATGTAATCATTCTAGAATCTGCATGCTGCTGGACTTTCCAAAGGAACAAAGAGATTTCCTATAGTGTGAGAGGATTGAAGGGATAGATGAGTGAGGTGAATTAAAGCAGCATCCTAGAGATCCAGGCCTGGCTGTTGGGGCAGGTGGCCAGAGCAACAGAAAATCAGTAAGACATCAAGGGCCTGATCCTGATCTCCTTTACACCAGTTTGACACCATTGTAACTTCACTGACTTCAGTAGGATTCCTGGTCTAGGGCCTGATCCAAAGCCAATTAGAGTCCATGGAAAGACTCTCACTGAATCCTATGGGCTTTGCAATGGGCACCTCCACTGATTAATGTGAGATCAGAATCAGGCCCCAAAAGTCTGGCTGGGGAGGCTTGAAGGGGAAGATAAGAGACCCTGGTTGGATGGGAGTGAGGCTAAATGGGGGCAAAAAGCTTGTAGGAACAGGACGGAGTGGAGGTGAAGGGAAAGGAATAGATTAAGGGAGGGCAAATCTGTCGAGTGGAGCACAGGCAAATTTTCCAGGCAGAGAGTGGCAAAAACTTGGGCAAATCAAGACCTTACTCATTAACTGTTAGAGATGGCTCTAATCTCAAGCTCTCTATCTAGTTTACTTTGGGAACACTCTATTAGAGTCAGTCTGTCAGTCAAACCTGTCACCCTGCATTCAAGCTGATGGAATATAGCGCAACATACAGGGAGTGGAAGATGGGAGGGATCAGCAAGGAAAGCTACCTTATTGAGGTCAAAACATGTAGGGATAAAGTGAGACAGGCTAAAAGTCAAGTAGAGTTGGACCTTGCAAAGGGAATTAAAACCAATAGTAAAAGGTTCTATAGCCATATGAATAAGAAGAAAACAAAGAAAGAAGAAGTGGGACCGCTAAACACTGAGGATGGAGTGGAGGT